TACCAAACTGGACTTAAAATTATAAAAAGATAAATGATAAGGATTACCGTACGCAACGGCTCAGTCATTCTTCCAACATGTCTATTTGTTGACTTTTTCCATTTGGATGAGAGATCAGACCCTGTCAATGGGAGAAGGGGTGGGGTGGGGTGAGGCTCCGTCCAGCCTTTGCGCTTGAAACGTTTTCCGCCAGATTATCTCATTAGGCGTTTTTCTCGAATCAGTCAACAATGTTTTAAATAAGTACAATTTGGAGAAAATGGCCTTGTCGCTTACTGATGATTTTGATGTAGTCAAAAATGTTTTGGACGAGTGCGGACAAATTTCAGTCACACGGTTCATGAAGGTTTCATTCGGTTCCATTTTCTTTGCCCAAGTTAATGACTCCGTCCAGCGTAAGGGCTTGAAACGTTTTTGCATCTCACAGCTGATGATCTCAGTATTGATTAGACTTTGAATTCTCTAAATATTTAATAGTTTGAAGGAAATGGCCACGTCATCTATGGGTGACGATTTCACAAAAAAAATGTTTAGGACGATGCATCGCACGGTTTCATTCGGTTCAATTCCCTTTGCAAAACTCAGTGCAATTAACAAAATCGTTGTTGTTTGTTGAGTGAAGCCCTTTAATTGAACCAAGTCTATTTTAAAACCACTTGAGAGGGATTGAACCTTTGAATTGTAAGTACATTATATTTGTAATCAGTGTCATGCATCGATTCATGTCGGTTGGTCTGGCACGTCCTCACGGAAATAAATTTTTATACTGTTAGATAGGGTGAAGAAAATCGAAGAGTGGAAAAATCGAAAGTCAGGTACATTAAGGACTGGGTCATCTAAAGTAAGTAAACAAAACATGAAAAAATGAAGGGGGTGGTCTAATTATCCTTAAATATGCAACGTATTGACACTAAAGTTACGTGAGAGCTTAAATACCTTGTAAAGATTAAGTCTTATTGAAAGTTGTCAAGATAAGGATCACGTGACTCATTAAGGTCTCCAATTACCATTTTTAACTTCAGGCCATCTGCAGGAGAACTTTTGCACACTCGTCTTAACAAATAACGCACGGATCTGGATTCACACGTGACAGCCAGAAAACATTCATCACGGATAGGCATACCTCCACTCCAGTCACATTTGGAAAGTACTTTAGATAGGTAAAACATCGTCAATAAAAATGCTCAGTAACAGTTCTTTTTACCCCGCCTGCAGAATCCTTAAAAAAAAAATACAGAAGTAAAGCGTTACTTGGTCACGCTACACGTTACCATGGTGATGTAAATCTCATAAATACTATCTTACAGGTATAATGCAACGACCACGTCTCACCCTTGCCACATTATTTGTTTTGAAGATAGACCACCCCCTTATATTTTAGAGCGAAAAAATGGCAGATCCAGGCCTTAATATATCTGAGAACTTCTTGCACGTTTCAAGTAAAGTGAGTAAGTAAAAGTGAAAGATAATCCTAACAATTTTTAGAAACATCATTAACAATGCATTTTTGTGGAGTTGAAAATAAGCCTTCGGTAAGACTGATGCCAAGTTTTTTGTTTGTTTGTTTTGTTTTTCTTTTTTCAGGGAAATGACCCCTTATATCCCTCGTTGTTTTGTTTTCATTCGTTCTAAGTCTTCTTGGCCTTGATTCTGTCGCAGGTATTTTACTGGCCTTGTTGTTTATCAGTCTTACAGAACTCCAGGCAAGACCTACCGATTCCTCAACACTTCCTTCCAGTAATTTTAACGGCACTTCCAGTTTGAGGAACACAACACGATCTTCTGCACGGGAAACGACGGGCCTAAAGCCCCGGGAAAAAGTTGACAAAGTTACGTCTAGCACTAACGAGATGCAACCTTCAAGCGTTAACATCAAGCAAGCTACAGAGACCCAGGATGATCTGTCAGCAACTGACGGTTCTGGGTTAACCAGAACAATTTTACCCACTAGCATCAACAAGAATCCCTGTATAAAAAAAATTCGTTACAGCTTTATTTACAATCAGTTGTTCAAAATTCCTATCTGTAAAAAAAACCATGGCTGCCATGAAGTGGTCAAAATTGTGAACTTTGGAAAAGGAAGAACTCTGGCAGTAACCTACAACTGCCAAAAACAACGTTCTTAATTGAGACCACATAAAATGAGAACGGAAGTATTTATGACTTCTATATCAACTCATTGACGACATGCAATACAGTAAGTTGCCTTATTTTACTTGATAAGTAAATTTCAATCGCGTCCTCTTTACCAGGAAATGCGTTCAGTTGGATTTTACATTAGTCAAGAACTGCAACAATGAACTTTCCAGACCAACAATATGTGGTGGACGAAAAAAACAGGCCTGAAATTTATACCATTTAAATCAACAGCTGAATTTAAAGTTTAACCAGTTAAAACTTTTTCAGCCTTCCCTTCAGCTACACCCTCTTTTCACCCATGAAAGTAGACACCAGTAACAGAGATTTCGAATCACTTTTACGGCAAACGGCAAACGTGAGATTCAAGTCGAGAAATTCGCAAAATTAAATAGGAAATGAGCAGCTAAACACAGCTCAAAAAAATTATTATGGATAGAAATGGCGTGAATCTACCGATTTTTGTGTAGTGAAAATGACATATATAAACGACAAGCAAAAGGGAAAACTTGGTCACGTGGTACAAACTCACGTTTGTCGTAAACGCGACTCTAAATATCTCTCTAATATCACAATATCAGAACTGAACAGCGACTCCGTTGTTATAAAACGCTATTCAATTAGTCAGTCATTTGAAGATTCTCTGTTTACTATTGTTATCGCCAAAACAAAATAATAAATACATGGAGACGGTGTTTCTCTACATTAGGCTTAAACAAGGTTAAAACTGATCTATTTCTCTGACTGTTCCTGAGTATTCCTCAAGTCCGATCCACTGTTACCATCCATATTACATGCTCACATTTTACTTGAGAGACGCAGATTGTTTTTTCTTTGCTTCTCTTTAATAAGCAAACCCTTACAATAAACACTCTGCCATGAAACATCAACGAGGTCACGCACCTTGTTGGATACTAGATGTGGCGTTTAAATTCAAACCGCAGCGGAAACAGGAATTAACGCAATATAATGAGGTTATCGATAGGGTTCGCTGGGCTTTTTGTATCACGATAGTTCATTTGTTATTACTTAGTCGTCTCTTGTAATTTTACTTGCCAAAGGTTTCGCTGAAAAAAAACAAACAAACAAACAAACAAAAAAAAAATCGGGATGAAAATGGAAAGTAAAAAAGTTAAGCTCACGATCCACTGAATAATCAACGGGTCAGCGGTCATTAAAAATACTTGAACGCCATGGTTAATGCACCTGAGCTGACGCATACACAGGAGCCAAACGAATAGGCTGCGGGCGGGAGATACTGCTACCTTGTCATACAGGTCCGCTGGAAACCCCAATTTTGATAGAAGGGTAGAGTTGCACTTTGACTTCAAAAAGAACGCCTGAAATGCCCTAGAAAGTGTATCGCATCGCTACCATAATGTTTCTCTGGAAACCATTTCCTTAGTTCAAACAGAAGAAGGTCACGTGATAACCAGAATTTCTGAGATGAAAAGATCCCAATGAATGATGCTCCGCTTGCCCTGGTGATACGTAACAATTCATGCGAAGCCAACTGCAACATGTACAAACGCACTAAGCAAAACAAAATTGATAAACAATACTGCGATCAATACAAAAACAATACGACGATCGATATTGGAAAGACAAAAGACCGATATGGAAATAACGACGTTATCGCTTTGATAGAGATGCATTGACCGGTTATTGGAGGTGTTTAAAGGCGGTTCTAGCATTAAGAAAAAGAAAAAAAAAAGGTACAGTCGACTCTCTCTTAACGGACACCTCTGTAAAACGGACACCTAGAGTTGGTCCCTGCCTTTCTTTACTCCCTTTATTTGACTCTCTATAAGACGGACACCTCTCTAAGAAGGACACTTAGTGCCGGTCCCAAAGGTGTCCGTCTAAGAGAGAGTTGACTGTAAATGCTTGAATCAGATGATATACATGATTTTACTGAACGACTGCACCGCAAAACACGATGGATAAAATAAGTAGAATAAACTGCTGTCGTTCAGTGGAATAACATGTCTGATTGATTAGCCGCATGACCTTTTCGAACTTTTTGGAAGAGGACTATGAACTCTGTGGAAAAGTCTTTAACCGAGGGGAAAAAAGTTACTTTTTCTTTGAAAGACTAAAATTCCTACGCAGTGTAGTTACTTAATGTTAATTTGAAAATTGTAAAATCGACCCTGTTCAAAAGAGTCTTAACCGACGTTTCGGCAATACTGCCTGCTACAGGGTACAAGACTAATAGAAAACGTCGGTTAAGACTCTTTTGACTGGAACAGAATCGATTTTACAATTTTCAAATTAACATTACTTTTTCTTTTGTATCGTTTTTAGTAACTCCATTAAGACAATTTTCCTTGGGGTTGGCTGAAATACATTAAGTTAGTCACATACAAAAAATAATGTAGGTGAACGTGCGTTGTGGTTCAGGGTTCCAACATAGCATTCGTTCTTTCGTTCTTTCACCTGTTCGTTTTATGAGATGACATGTGTTTGAACCGACAACGCAGATGAGCGACTTAACAGTTTGTCTTACAATCAGAACTAAAGTATAATTATATAATTTAATAGGTAATTTAGTATATTATTTGAAAAGGTCATGCATCCCTTCACGCAAGTTGATTCATCAAGGCATACGGAAGTAAATCTTAAAATATATATATATATATATACCGGTATATTTGTTATAAAAAATGGCGTGGGATGGTTTGACAAACATGACAACTTGAAAAAGAGGAATATCAAAACTTATCAGAGTAAATCAAATTGTCTAAGACAAAACATGTTAATAGGGGATCTTACAATTAAGAATATACCTCACATACCTGCATTGGCGAAGCGCAGAGCCGAAGACCGTAAGCGGATTGAAAGTGACAAAGAAATTCACAGCAATGTTCGCCCTCTTACAACAGGTAAAAGGTCTTCAATCTGAATTATTTTACTTTGAATTAACTTCAGTGAGCTTTTAGGGGGCTGTTTCGTAACTTTAATAGTAAAGAGGAATCATATTTAATCTCAATTTCGTTCAGGTACCTTTTTGAAAAATATATTTATTGGCAAATTCCTATGCGCAAAAAAATCAAAATTAAAATTAAGTGAGAAAAAAAAAATGACCGTTCTCTTGCTAAAAGTTACGTGGGACTTGGTCATGCGCAATTTGTGTAGTGGAATTAGGATAAAATTGAATGAAGTTTTCTAGAAGTTTCATATGTAGGTAGGTTTTTACAGACTGATGCGTTTTACAGAGTACAGTTGCCTCCCTACCGTCATGAAAATGATTCCATATGCCACTCCAAAGTTGATATCTATGGATGGATTAGATTTAAGTTCATTGCTCAATTCGTTTCTGTTTTTTTTTTAAGGTCTCCTTTGATTTACTCGTCATTGCTTTATTGGACTTCATCATGATATTAAGCACTCATTCAGAAGTCGAGGCAAGACCCACAGGCTGTGTAACACACCCATTCAATAATTTAAAAGGCACTTCCAGTTCAAGAAATACTACCCAAAGTTTACCAAATGTAAGAGAGGCTAGCCTAAAACCATCAAGCGTTGTCAGCACTATCGAGCTGCAAGCCACAAGATCTAAGACTGGGCGAATAGCAGAGAACCAGAGAGAAATGCTAACTGCTGACGCCTCTGGGATTGCCACCACACCTTTTCCAAGGACCGTGAACGAGAATATTTGTATAAAGAGATATCGTTACAGAATTATATGCAATGATTTCTTCGTAATCCCTGTTTGTAAAAAGCATCAAGGCTGCTATGAAGTGAAAAAGATCGTGAGCTTTGGAAAAGGAAGAACTTATGCAATAACGTTTAAATGCCAAAGATTTAAACAACTTCCNGTGAGCTTTTAGGGGGCTGTTTCGTAACTTTAATAGTAAAGAGGAATCATATTTAATCTCAATTTCGTTCAGGTACCTTTTTGAAAAATATATTTATTGGCAAATTCCTATGCGCAAAAAAATCAAAATTAAAATTAAGTGAGAAAAAAAAAATGACCGTTCTCTTGCTAAAAGTTACGTGGGACTTGGTCATGCGCAATTTGTGTAGTGGAATTAGGATAAAATTGAATGAAGTTTTCTAGAAGTTTCATATGTAGGTAGGTTTTTACAGACTGATGCGTTTTACAGAGTACAGTTGCCTCCCTACCGTCATGAAAATGATTCCATATGCCACTCCAAAGTTGATATCTATGGATGGATTAGATTTAAGTTCATTGCTCAATTCGTTTCTGTTTTTTTTTTAAGGTCTCCTTTGATTTACTCGTCATTGCTTTATTGGACTTCATCATGATATTAAGCACTCATTCAGAAGTCGAGGCAAGACCCACAGGCTGTGTAACACACCCATTCAATAATTTAAAAGGCACTTCCAGTTCAAGAAATACTACCCAAAGTTTACCAAATGTAAGAGAGGCTAGCCTAAAACCATCAAGCGTTGTCAGCACTATCGAGCTGCAAGCCACAAGATCTAAGACTGGGCGAATAGCAGAGAACCAGAGAGAAATGCTAACTGCTGACGCCTCTGGGATTGCCACCACACCTTTTCCAAGGACCGTGAACGAGAATATTTGTATAAAGAGATATCGTTACAGAATTATATGCAATGATTTCTTCGTAATCCCTGTTTGTAAAAAGCATCAAGGCTGCTATGAAGTGAAAAAGATCGTGAGCTTTGGAAAAGGAAGAACTTATGCAATAACGTTTAAATGCCAAAGATGTAAACAACTTCCCTCATCGTGACAGGAAGAGTAAGAACGGAAGTATCGCCAATGACTTTCGTATTAGCTCATAATGCTAAAACCCTACATGCTGTATTCATTCGTGGTAAAAACCTTTGTCACTAGGGGAATGTTTTTGGTCGATTTTAACTTTATTCAGTCTCTACAAAAATAAAAGTCAGAAATGGTCGTATGAAACTGACATGAAGGCCTGACATTAACCTTTGAAGCAGTTGTATCTTGTTATACCTCTCAAAACGTGTCCTCTTGAGCAAAGGCAAAGATTGACATGTTTTACCTCTCTGTATACCGCAGCGGAAACAGGAATTAACTGGATATAATGAAAGGTATAGTGTACGATAGGGGTCGTCGATTGTTTTTCTAACAGTAGTAAATACTTCTTCGATAGCCCGGCTGTGAAGGCTCCCGCATTCCTGAGGAAGGGTAGTGAGGGATGCGGGTGACTTTTGCCTCCCCCCCCCCCATCCCCTTCCCTTCTGCTCGTGCGTCCGGGCATTTTCTTTTGTTCAGTATCACACTCGAGAGCCTAATCACACAAGCTACTTTATAATTGATCGCGAGCAATATGTTGCACGCTCCTTCAGTTGGATAACGAATTGTGGCTTTTATATTATTTGCAAACCGCAGTGGCACAGGAATAAAGTCAATATCAAAACATTAATGTAATGAAATAATCGTTCATTGTGGGTAGTATATGTTTTCTAGAATTTTCATATGTAGGTATTTGTAGACTGCGTTTTACTGAGTAGAGTTGGCTGCCTACCCTCATGAAAATAATTCCATATGCCACTCCAAAGTTGATATCTGTGGATGGATTAGATTAAAGTTCATTGCTCAACTGCTTTCTGTTTGTTTTAAGGTCTCCTTCGATTTACTTGTCATTGCTTTATTGAACTTCTTGCTATTAAACACTCTTTCAGAAGTCGAGGCAAGACCTACAGGCTGCATAACACACTCAATCAATAATTTAAAAGGCACTTCCAGTTCAAGGAACACTCTGACCCAAAGTTTACCAAATGCAAGGGAGGCTAGCCTAAAACCACCAATTGCTGTCAGCACTATCGAGCTGCAAGCCACAAGATCTAAGACTGGGAGAATAACAGAGAACCAGAGAGAAATGCTAACTGCTGACGCCTCTGGGATTGCCACCACACCTTTTCCAAGGACCGTGAACGAGAATATTTGTATAAAGAGATATCGTTACAGAATTATATGCAATGATTTCTTCGTA